GGACGTGTACATGGATGACGACCTGTTGGGCTAGTAAAGAGCATCCGTCCTTTTGAAGTTTGGGTTCATTTTGAGAATTTTAAATTATGTAAAAAAATACGCAAACTGTTTTTGTTTCTGGGTCATTTTGACATGTACAAATGACATTATCCGCATTGTTTTGACACTCTTTTGACATGTATAAATAATATTATCTGCGTCGTTTTGACAAATAAATCTAAATTTTAAAAAGTTGTTTTGAGAAAAAAATATGACTCGTATTTCAAAATATAAGAATGTTTAGCAATAGAAGAGCGGGCGTGATAATTATAAACAATATATTATATATTATAAACTATATACTATATACTATATATTGTATACTATATACTATATACTGTATACTATATACTATAAATCTCGATATTGAAGGATAAAAATATAATTTGTGCAAAAATAAACGCGATTGCCTAGTGGCAAGATGGTACTGAAGGCGGCCTTGAGGGTTTGAAATGCCCATACCCAAGTTTGATTCCTCTTAAGCGCGAACCTTCAACCATTTTTTTTATATGTAAAATGTATTCTCAGAATACGTTTTACATATATTTAATTGTAAAACGTATTATGAAAATACGTTTTTGTTTAATTTTTTTTAAATAAAACGTATGATAGAAATACGTTTTAAACTGTAAGTTAAAAAAAAAACTAGTTTTCTCCATTCTTTAACCAAAAAAAACTATTTTAAATATTCAAAATAACCAACTAAACTAAAATTACACTAACAAATCAACTAATCTACCCTAAATACCATCCAAACAAATCCAAATAAATAATTCAAACAAATTCAAATAAAATAAACTATCCAAACAAAACAAAATAAACAATCCAACCAAATCAAAATGAACCATCTAAATAAATCCAAATAAACACTAATAAATTTAGTTCCCCCACTCATCACGAAGTCTAGTCCTATTGGTGCGAGGATGTGAGGACGGACACTCATCCACAACATTATTTGGATCACCGCATCTAGTACAATGTCCCCTATCATTTCTGCGGCTTGCCCGACGATCTATTTGCATGTGATATCGTCTCGTTTGCAAGCGACCGGGTCTAGGATTCAAGATGATCCTCTCCCAGTGTGGTATCAAATTCCATTCGACCTGCGCCCTTGTATCCGGATTACCAATTGGAGTAAAACTCCAATTAGTAAATTGAGCTACCCAGGTCGCCATCCAAAAGTGTTCATCTTACAACAACTTTGGGCCATCCCCAATGAAACGACAAACGCCTATTGCATGAGAGCATGGTTTCCTATGCGTCTGCCACTTCTGACAAGTACAACGTTTTGGTGGTAATCAACATTATACCTGTATTTCCCCAGTGATTTATATATATACAAAATGAAAAATTTGAATGGAAAAAAAAAAGACCATATACTTACTTGTTTTGCCCTCTTCCACTAACCCGTATACCGGTTTCCACCCCGTACATGGATCTGTCGGCGTCCATACATCGCACACTATGAGTTGCGGCTGTTTGCTCTAATTGCAAAAATGCGTTATAGTGCTCCATAGCAATGAGACTCCTGCATCTCCTGGACTTGTTTTGTTCCTGTTCAAACAAATCCAGAGTTTTGTGAAATGTGGCGTCTACCAAAGCTCTGCACGGTAGGAACCTAACCCCTTTCAGGACGTTGTTGTAACTCTCTGACATATTCGTTGTCAATGTGCCCCATCTACGTCCTCCATCTCGAAACAGGGTCCACTTGTTCAAAGGAATTTGGAAAAGGCAATCGTGTGCTTCGGGTTTAAATTCATTGAGTCGCTGTTCTGTCTGTCAAAACTTTCGCTCCGACACCTGCGAACCCAAATCCCAACACCAATTCCAGATTTTCTTACTCCTGAACCTAGTCACCACATTACTTCGAAGGTGTCGAAGGCAAATTCGGTGATACGCAGCGGGTTCTCTACTAATGATTCAATGGCACTGCGTAGACCCGCATCCCTGAAGGAAAGAACGCAGATCTGCCTGTCGGATACAACATATAGCTGCAGATTCCTAAGGAAAAATGACCAACTGTCCGTGCTTTCTTCATCTACAATCGCATACGCGATTAGCAATAGCCACTTATTCACAGTCTGTGTTATGGCCATAAGCAATTTTCCCTAATACGATCCACGCGAATGTGTGCCATCGACGCTAATAACCGGTGGGCATTTTGGAAGGTTTGAATGGCGGGACCAAACACCTAGAATACAAATTTGAATTCTCTGTCTGGAAGTTGTCGTGCCATTTCCCTACCCTGCTATTCCCACTGTACAACTGTGGTGGGATTCGCTCTTTGAAGCGCGGCAAAATACCTGCACATTACAAAACGGTTTCATAAATAGATAAATATTGTGACAGACAAACAACACATATATTTGTAATTAATTTTTGCTTACTGAGGGAGTTCTGCGAAGTTCGATTCTCAACTGCCATACACACCATCGATGGCTTTTTTCCTCCCGTGCCATGCCTTTTTGTAGCTGACATCGACTTTCCAACACTGTTTCACATCAGCCTGGACCATGCTAACATTGTACTCCACTTTCTTTTGAATCTTATTACGAATGAGATTTGAAATCATTTGGGCGGTTACATTTCTGTGGTCATTTCTCTCGACCTGTTGCATACAAGTGTGTCTACTCAGTCCATTCAGTTAATTCCCATAAGTCATGAACTCGTCTGGACTTAGTCACCCGAGCCTTCCACACATACTGACACAAGGTTGATCTTCGTTAGATTTGCAGACCACTTTGTATGAGTTTTTATTTGAATCATTTGTCAGAATCTCCCTCAATCTATCAACGTTCCAAGCCATTATACCCGTTTGGGCTTCTTCCTTGCTCCTAAAAACTGTACCCAAACGTATGGTCTCAATGTCGCCATTCCAGAGTGGAGGAGCATACTCTTTCTCATCTATCCTGGACGGCTGCCATTCACCCATCTCGTGGTATATGTGGCGACTACTACTAGGGAAGGGGTGTTCTTCTTCAATGAACTCGACTTCACTCTCCTCATTTACCGATCTATCTGATTCGGTTTCCGAGGTCTCGTATGTGACATCATCTTCACCGGGAATGAAATCTTCATCACTTTCTTCCCCGTCCTCATTTGCCCATTCTCTCCTTCTTGAGCTTGTCCCTTCTCCAAAATTACGTAGATGAGAAGTCGACGTACCCTCAACATCAACCACTCCCTCGTAATAAAGAGTAAAATCCTCAAACTGTGTAACCGGTGTAATTACCTCCAACTATAAATGCAAATACACAATGGACATAGAAGGAAAGAAATAAATCCATTGAAGAACACTATCGTTATTGAGTATTGCGGTACTCCACAAACCATCGGGTTAGCTAACCGTTAAAGTAATCTCTTGAATTGTCCAACCTTCTCCAAAACGACAATTGTCATTAGTCATCTGTACCAATTGTTCATATGATATCCTCCCCGAAATAACAAATGAACCATTCGGACGATCCATAACTGAACCAAAATCGCGCAACATTTTCTTCCCACAACGCCAGTACAAATTAACAAGGTATGGACCGTCATGCGCCATTTATACCTGTTGGCAAAAAACACTTTCAATTCTTCCCAATTACAACAACACATAATGTCTAATCCAACACCCAAAAAATTCAATTATTCTTTTACCATTCTAAATTTAAAACCCATTTTTTTACTCCAACGAAAAAACCTAAATAAATATTCTCAATCAAATAATCTTCCAAAACCCTAATACCCATAATCCAACAATAACAGAGAATTCATCTATATTTCGGATAGATTCAAAGCCTTAATTCTAACCCTAATTTCGAAAAACCCTAAGCCCAACAACAACCAACCAATAGACAATTGACAATTTACAACAAAATTTCAATCTCCAATTCAACATACACACATAATTGATAAACAATTAACAATTCTCAATCTTCAAACACCACCACATTCAAACATACTATAACAATTCCCAATCTCTAAACAACTCCAAACAATGTCAAAAGTTGAGATAAGCCAATATACCTCGTGCGAATGAATTAACCGAAAATGAGGCTCGTGTCGCTGTTGTCGATTCGCGCCGGGGTGGGGATGGGATCATTTTTTTTTTCGAACGTTTTTTCTCCTTCTTCTTCTTCTTTCTCTCTGTGTTGTGCGCTCTATGCTCTCGCATAACTAATGGAAAAGAAGAGATTTTTTTTATATTTAATTGTAAAACGTATTCTCAGAATATGTTTTACTTTTATTTAATTGTAAAACATATTCTGAGAATACATTTTTTAAATTTATTTTTTATTAAAACGCATGTTTTAATGAAATCGCATTTTCGATGAATACGTTTTCCCAATTTTTTTAAAAATTAAAGCGTATTTCAAAAATACGTTTTTCAAAACCCTAAAAATCAATTTTATAGTTTTAAAAAATGTATTCACATAATATGTTTTATAATTGATTTTTTTTTTTTAAATTAAATTATAGAAATGAAAAGCGTATTTCGAAAATACGTTTTTCAAAACCCTAAAAATCAATTTTAGGGTTTTAAAACACGTATTCGGATAGTACGTTTTATAATTATTAGTTTTTACTCAATTTGACCTTTTTAATGGCAATTTTTTTTTTAAACTTTAAAAACTATTTTTAAAACGTATTACGGAAACACGTTTTTCTAATAAAATTTTATTAGAAAAACGTATTCCGAGAATATGTCCTTTTTATTTTTGTCCATACCTTTTTTTTTGTCCATTTATTTTTTTTTAAAAAATAAATAAACCACCCATGTATTATAGCCTAGTGGCCCTAGCTTGGGTTGGGCCATTAGATGGAACTGTTCAATACACTATTATTAGGCCATGAATGAGAAATGCTAAATCCAGAGAAGGTAGGGTTTGGGTCTAATAAATTCTCATCCGCTGTGCGCTTTGCCATTGTTTGCCTTGTTTGTTAATCTTCGGGCGATAGGCGAGAGAGAGAGAGAGATGGGAATTCTGTCGACCAATTTTTTGGCCATGGCGAAATCCAAACTCAAGTATGTCTCGTCAACCTTGTATTCGACTGCGTCTCATGTTAAATCCCAGGCACATGTGCCACGGGGTTTTGCGGTGGATGCCAACAACAAGAACAACGACGACAAGGTCCGGTTTCTGTTCATGTACTTTGTCAAGGATCTCAGGTATGCTTCGGTAATTTCTGCTGAAACCTCGTGGAAAATAGATGAACTCCGCTCGAATAACTTCATTATGTTCACACCCCAAATTGACAAATGCGTTAGAGCGTTGGGTTGTAGATATGATATTGTCGACAGTATCGACGAGCTGATGTTGGTGTCCAGCTGGGACGCAGGATGCTTAAGGAAACATGATATTCTTTGGAACCCCACTAGCCAAGAGATAAAGATCATTCCTGTTTCTCCCTACTGGAAACGTCGTTTTACGGATATGTTATTTGGCTTGGGATTTGATCCCGCCAAGCCTCGGGGATATAAGATTCTCAAGGTTCTCATAGACTACTGTGATTTCAGAGCTCCTCCGGAGTTCAGAGCCGAACTGTACTCACTCGAAACCGGTTCTTGGAGGAAAATCAAGTATCCTTACCAGCGAGAGGGTGTGCCGACTAGCCGAGGCATTCGCATAGGCGGCTCTTATTATTGGGCACTAAGTGCCAGGCCTAAGTCCATCATCTCATTCGACTTTGCCAGTGAAAAGTTTTCCTGCCTTCTTCCTTTTCCGGGGAAGATTAGATTTAGAGAATCCGAATATCTTCTTGTTGAGCTTGATGGCTCGCTTGCTATTCTTCTTCTGACGGATGACTGCGGTAATGCCCAAGTGCCTTATTCCACCGATAAGGCTCAAGTGTCTTATTCCACTCTCGAAATTTGGGTGTGGAATGATGAGTCGTGGTATCTAAAGTCGAAACTGGAGATCCCTGTTGTTGTTGATCATGTCATAGGTCTCTTTGAGAATAATAAATTGTTTCTCCTGGACATCACTGGCAAGGTGCTGCTTTTCGATGTTGCAGAGCCTGGATCGGTGCACATCACAGGCATCTGTGCTGATTCTAAGGTACTTTCGATTATGCCGTATGTTGAGAGTTCTGTTCCGCTCAATGCATCAGAATAATTGGTGTTGGTGGGGAAAAACCAATTATCATGTATGATCTTGTCGAACCGTTCTTTCATTTTAGCATTTCTTGTGTTTTGTGCATTTGTTTGTGTTTTCATTTTAGCATCTGTTGGTCTGTTTTTGGTCTTGTTGCTGTCTGATTTGGATTCTTGTTTGATGCTTCCTTTCTGGCGCAGACCCTAGTAAGATATTGTCCTTTGGGCTACTTCCGCCACCCGCACGGCTTTGTTCTTGGCTGGGCTTCAATACACACCCACCAAAACGCGTCTTACTAGTGAAGGTATTCACACCCTCATATAAGGCCTGCTTCGTTTCCCTTCAAACCCGATGTGGGATGCGCTGCATCATCCACCCCCCTGTGGGCCCAGCGGTCACCGCTGGCACATAGGTTGGCTCTGATACCAACTGGCGCAGACCCTAGTAAGATATTGTCCGCTTTGGGCTACTTCCGCCACCCGCACGGCTTTGTTCTTGGCTGGGCTTCAATACACACCCACCAAAACACGTCTTACTAGTGAAGGTATCCACACCCTCATATAAGGCCTGCTTCGTTTCCCTTCAAACCCGATGTGGGATGCGCTGCATCACTTTCATTCCAATAATACAGTTTTAATTTCTCAATATTTTGCCCATGTGACGTGGAGTATGCATTCAACTATGCTTCTTAGTACTGTTACTTTATATAAACTTCTAGGAGTTTGCACCTTATCCCTGTACAAGCTGTCCTTGGTCCTATTTTCCTGAATGAGGAATAAGATGGTCAGAATAGTGGCTGATGAATGGACCTAACGCTCTGTCTGTTGTGTTTGTTGCTGCCCCATTCAGATATAATTTGATCGACTTTGTCATGATATCAATTGCATTGTCATAGTTAGCATTTGCTAAGCAAAGAAAATGTATGCTTCCCACGCCGAAATCATTAAAGGTAGCTATGCTTTGTAGATGAATATGTGATGGTCAAAACATTTGCTGATTTTATGGCAGTCTCCAAACATCGGCTGTTTTTTTTTTCCTTCTAAACAAGGCCTATAATTTGCCTGTACAATTCATACCTAAAAATGGATTCGAACTTCATTATCTACCCTCCATCTCAATCTCAGTTAGTGAAGGCTTGGTGCTTGGATACCATTTTAAGATAAATAAGCTTTTGTAATGCATTGTTTGACCGATATGAACTTGTTGGCCAAGTGGAGTTGCTGGAATTGAATCAATAATTGATTTATCGTTTAGTGATGTTGGTCCCTTTTCAATTTTTGATTGTGAAGCAACGATAAGAGTGACTTCAGCTTGTATGAAAATTGAAAACTGACATTTCATTATTTGATTCTATTTCGGTGGAGATGATACACACCACGATACCATTGATAGAGGTCCCTACAGTTTGCAAAATAAATTAGTTATGGTCCTGTAGTTCATAAAAAAACTGAGTTGTGAAAAAAGATGGTCATATGGTTCACAAAAGAACGTAGTTAATAGATATGGTCCTATAGTTCTTCAAAGAAATCAATTAGAAAAAAAAAAAAAAAATGCATAGAATCAGTATCTCAGGAAAATGTAGAAAAGAATAAATACACTATTCTTTTCTCAAATTTGTTCAATTACTCATCAAGGGTATATATGTTACGTTTCCTTTTTCAATGCAAGATCATTGACCAATCTTTAGACTCGAGGTTTTATGCCAACTCGTTTTCAAGCATGTCATTGTCAAGCTATGTTTGGGAGTAAGGCTGTTATCGAACCAAATCGAGCTTAATGTTTTCGAGCTCGAGTTCGACTAATTTTTGAACATGTTGGTGTTCGTTTGTTTAGTAATCGAACAAAAAATTTCGTTCTTGTTCGTTCGTTTATTTGTTTGACATGTTCGTGTTCGTTCTTTTATATATTCGAACTTGTTTGTGAACTTTCCCAATTGTTGGAATTGTTCGACAAGTTTGTGTTCGTGTGTTTCGGT